GGACGCTTAACCGACTGCGCCACCCAGACGCCCCTTTAACTTTTTTTCTTTTAATGTTTATTTTTGAGACAGAGAGAGGCAGAGCATGAACAGGGGAGGGTCAGAGAGAGAGGGAGACACAGAATCTGAAGCAGGCTCCAGGCTCTGAGCTGTCAGCACAGAGCCCGACGTGGGGCTCGAACTCACAGATCACGAGATCATGACCTGAGCTGAAGTCAGAGGCTCAACTGACTGAGCCACCCAGGCGCCCCTCATCTTAACCATTTTTAAGTATACAGTTCAGTTGTGTCAAGTACATTCTCACTGTTGGGAAATCATCACCATCCATCTCCAGAACTCTTCATCTTGCAAAACTGAAACGCTGTTACCCATTAAACAACTCCCCGTTCCTCCCTCCCCCAGCCCCTGGCAACCACCTTTTACTTGATGTCTCTATGAATTGGCCACTCTCTGTGTCTTGTAGGAGTGGACTCATGCAGTATTTGTCCTTCCGTGACTGGCTTATTTCTCTGAGCATAATGTCTTCGAGGTTCGTTCGTTAGAACATGGCAGGATTGCCCTCCTCCTTAAAGTGAATGACATTCCCTTGTATCTCTGTCTGTCCATCTAGGGATACTGGTTTGCTTCCACTCTCTTTTGGTTGTTGGGAATCAGACGGCTAGGAACGTGGGTGTCACTGTTAGGGGAGAATTAGGATCCGTGGGTGGACATGACAGGGAGGCAAAGCCTGGCCGGATGAGAGCAGGAAGAACTTTTCAGTGGTTAGAGCCCCTTCACAGGGCTCCCCCAGGGGTGTCATGGGGCTGGGAGGGCCATTTTGTCAGTGGCTCAGCAGTGTGCCCTCCTTTGGGAGGAGCTGGTCCTTCCGTCAGGGACTCCCCAGGCCCTGCCCATCCTACGGTTGCATCCCGGAGAGGAGCTGAGGGGTCGCCCACTGCCAGCTAACTGCTCTAGGTTAGGTTGGGTTGCCAGATCCAGTGGAGGGCATCGATTCCTGTTGTTCCCTGTCTTCTGGTGGGGCTTCTCTGTGGGCAGTCGCCAGCAGGTGACAACGTCGCCTGCCATCGGCTTGTTAGCATAGAACACGTCGGCAGGTGAAGATGAGACTTCCCCACCTGAAGAGCAGCCATGTGGGTAAGCCACCTTACCTTACGTGAAGAGGGCTCTCCAGTCAGTGAAGAACAATGGGGAAAAGGGAAGCGATGGGCAGGAAGCCGAACGCCTTCTGCAGGATTTCACCCTCTTTTTGGCAGATGCCCCGCAGCCTGCTTGCTCCACCGAAGGTTCCATAAACGTTATTGTATGTGCCAGTGCTCAGGGCCTTGGTAAAGTTTAACACGTTCCCCCAACGTCAAAGGAGTGCGAGACGTGCCCTCAGCTGGGCCTGGGCCAGGCAGCAAAGGCAGAGCGGGTGGGTGGGAGGGAACAGAAGCCCCTGGCTCTACCCAGTAGCCTCCTTCCCTGTGGCTGGTGTGTTCCAGGGAGATTCCAGACTTGCTTCTGTGCGTGCCTCTATAAATGACACGGTGCTTTGAATGCGCCGCAGGAGAGCCCCTCAAAGGAACCCTGTGGCAAAGTCTTTTGTAAAGTGAAAAATCCTTTTGTAAGATGAATAATTGTACTCTGTCTATCTGCTTTGGAGGTTCAGAGTGTCCTGAGATTCTCAGGGGAAAGAGCGATTTGTTTGAAGGCCATCTGGCTCCCCCTTTTTCCATTGCCTGATCTTGTACAGCGTCCCCCTCCAAGTGATGTAAAGCCCCCGTTTGGAGCTCTCAGTGATGGGAAACACACGATCCCCCAGGATGGAGCGTTCCATCTTTGGACGGCTCTTGCTTATTAGAAATGGAAACATCCCGAGCCTAAAAAAATTCTCTGATGTTTTCATCCATTGAATCCTCCACTTACAGATCACACTGAATATGCCCTTTCCTTATGGTGGCTCACTTGATACTTGATAACAGTGAACTTGACCCTGGGTCTTCTCTTCATCTGTTTCTCACATGCAGGATTTTGGTTTCTTTCATCATCCTGATGGTTCTGCTTTGACTTTGCTTGGTTGCCGTCCTGCATCCCTTTGGCAAACGTGAGACCTGACAGTTAAGGCAGCTTTCAGGTGTTGTCAGCTCGTGTAGAGGGGGCAGGGACCTTATCTTCCTAGATCTGGATTATCTTCCTTTTCTTTCTTTCTTTCTTTCTTTCTTTCTTTCTTTCTTTCTTTCTTTCTTTCTTTCTTTCTTTCTTTCTTTTTAATTTTGAGAGAGAGAGAGAAAGAGGGCGGGGCAGAAAGAGAGGGAGGGAGAGAATCCCAAGCAAGCTCATCATAGAACCTGACGTGGGGCTCGATCTCACGAATTGTGAGAACATGACCTGAGCTGAAACCAAGAGTCCTATCCTTAACTGACTAAGCCACCCAGGCACCCTATGATGTCAGGTTTTCTTTTCTTTTTTTTAAACTCTTTTTTTTTAACGTCTTATTTATTTTTTGAGAATGAGAGAGCGCGCACATGCGTCCACGTGGGAGGGGCAGAAGAGGGGGAACAGAGAATTGGAAGTGGGCTCTGCACGGACATGGCTGACAGCAGCAAGCCCCAGGCGGGGCTCGAACTCACGAACCCTGAGATCACGATCTGAGCCAAAGTCCGACACTCAACCAACAGAGCCACCGAGGAGCCCCGATGTCAGGTTTTCTTAAACAAGATACACCCTCGGAGGCGTGGTCCGATCTGGAACTAATGGAACTTTCTCCTTTTGCTGTAGAACTGGTCAGGCATGAAGTGTCAGTTCAAGCTGCTGCGGATGGCTGTGGCCTTGATCTGTAGTAAGTACTGACGGGGCAGGCTGGGTGGTGTGGAGCCCTGCACCAGGCCTGGAGGATATAGAGATAGCACAGTCCCCGCCCTGGAGGGGTGTGTGATCAAGGGAAAAAGGGAGACATGTCAATGGTATGTGACAAAGTGGGGCTGTTAGAGAAGTCTGGCCCACTCTGCTACCACTTAATCTTTCTTAAACTTTTTATGGACTTATAACATGGAACCAGAAAGGTGCGGGATGAGTATCCAGCTCAATGACCAGCACCCAGATCAAGAAAAATAACTTTTTTTTTTTTTTACATTTATTTATTTTTGAGAGAGTGAGACGAAGTGAGAGTGGGGGAGGGGCAGAGAGAGAGAGAGAGGGAGACACAGGATCGGAAGCAGGCTCCAGTCTCTGAGCTGTCAGCACAGAGCCCAACGCGGGACTCGAACCCGCAGACCGTGAGATCATGACCTGAGCCGAAGTCAGACGCTCAACCGACTGAGCCACCCAGGTGCCCCAAGAAAAACAACTTCTTAATAATTTTTGGGTCATGGAGTCAGTCCTTTGAGATCTGTTAGAAGCTAGAGATCCTATCCCCAGGATAGTACGTATGTGCACATGTGCGTGCACGCGTGCACACACATATACTAACTTGCAGTTTAGCAGATTCACAGGCTGTAACTAATCCTTGAACCCCTGTGTCCAGGGTGTGGTGGGGCTCTCATCGGGAGAAGTCAGTTCTGCCTGCAGAGGTCATTTTGAGTGTCCAGAACAGAGACCAGCTGCAAGAGGACATTTCCGGCAAAGAAAGATACAGTGTATGGAGGGAGGGTCATGGCTGTCAAGTCAGTTGGCAAGACTGACACGTGAGGTTTGGGACTGTGTGTGTTAGTGGTCAGAGATAATAGGAGTCAGGTCATGAGGGCCGTAAATGCAAAGAGAGAGGTTGGAGTTCATCCTGGATGTGCCAGGAGGCCGCTGGAGGGCTTTAAGCAGGGGAGTTACTGGCAGATTCAAGATTCAGGAGACCAGTCAGGCTCAGAGTAGAGAAGGAGTTGGGGGTGGGGAGTGAGACCAGAGGCCTTATAAGAGGCTCATTTGAGGTGATGAGCCTGTTCCAGAAGCGATGGAGGCAGAGAGAAGAGGGGACACACGGTCTGTCATTCAGGCCTCAGAACACGGCCATGAAGAGGGTATTTTTTTTTTAATTTTTTTTTTAATGTTTGTTTATTTTTGAGACAGAGAGAGACAGAGCATGAATGGGGGAGGGGCAGAGAGAGAGGGAGACACAGAATCGGAAGCAGGCTCCAGGCTCTGAGCCGTCAGCCCAGAGCCTGACGCGGGGCTCGAACTCACGGACCGTGAGATCGTGACCTGAGCTGAAATCGGACGCTCAACCGACTGAGCCACTCAGGCGCCCCGAAGAGGGTATTTTTTGTAAGGCTTGGTTTACAGGTAGACACTGGGGACACACTGCTGGCCCAGGGCCACCCAGCTGGCGGTGATAGAGGCAGAATTCAAAGCCAGCTTGTGCCATTTCTAATGCCCGCTCTTTAGCCAGGCTGGGCAGGAGCACCTGGGCTGTCTGCCTGGGTCCACCTGCTACGTGGGGAAGAGGAGGGTGGGCCAGAACAGCCATGGGCCTGTGTGGGCTGCACTTCCATCCACTTGCACATCTCTTGCTCGAAGGCCCACAGATTCTTTGAGCCAGGTCAGTGGGGGACGGCGGGGTGCAGTGGAGTGGGGGCGGGGTGAATGTTGCTTCCCTGTCTGCTCAGACTCTGTTTGTGGCACCCAGGGCCTGCTAAGCAAAGGCAGGAAGATACCCCAGGGCCTGGGTTGGGGGGGGTGTTCAGGGAGGACACAGTGTTGGTTCCCGGCTGCTCCTTCTCTGCCATCTATCGGCCATCCTTGGAGTTGCAGGGCCCGGGCCAGAAGATTAGGCAATTCCCAGGGGATGCTCATCCCTGGAGGTGCTGGCCCCCCCGGAGTGGTTAAGGCGGAGAAGAGCATAGTGGCTCATTAAATCGCACCTGAACAAGTGCAAAATTCCCCTCAAAGGACTTCCTTGCAATCTGTCAAATTTGCCTTGGTTTCCTCATCTGTGAAATGGGGATGAGAAGGCTTGCCCTAAGTGTTGTTTTGGTGGTGGGCAATGAAGTGGCAGTTTCCCAGCGACTGTCCTTTCAAGAGAGTACATCCTGTTGGACTGGCTGACTCAAGACGTTCATGCAAGAAGAATGCATTGGAGAATGGGATGGGGGCTTTTTAGACTCTTAAGAGAGAAATTCTAGCACTCTGTTGGCACTGTCTGTTCCCAGTCCTTCGTTGCCCTTTTCTCCTTCCATCCCATGTTTCCAGTCACAAAAGCACTGGTTCTGAGGGTTTTCTAAAGGTTTTGAAGCAATACATGAAAACACTTTATAAACTGTAAAGTGCTAGCACATATTGAAGTTGTTATTGATGCTCCAGCAGTGCGGCCTGGTAGTTAGAGGCTGAGACTGTACAGATGGGGAAACTGAGCCTCCAGGACCCATGAATGCAGAGGAGCAAGGGTCTTTGGGTTTTGGCACAAGCTGCCCCCTCTGCCTGGAATGTTCTTTCTTCTTAGGATCTTCTCTTGATATTTCACATCTCTGCTCAAATTTCATGTCTCTAGGGAGATCTTGCCTGATTCCCCAAACCAAAGGATCCCCCTCCTTAGGCCCAGCATTGATTGAAAGTCACCTGTTTTCTCCCCCATAGAATTTTTCTTACTGGAATTATCTTATGTCTGTAATTGACGCTGGTCGATTGCCAGATCTGTAAGCCCTGGGAGAACAGAGGTTGGTCTGTCTTCACTACTGTGTCTCCAGCGCAGAGAACAGACAGTGCTCAGCCTAATGGGTAGTGAATGAATTAATGGGTGGGTGGCTGAGGCAGGGGGTTGGGTGTGTGGATGGATGGATGGATAGACGGATGGATGGATAGACGGATGGATGGATGGATGCATGGATGGATGGATGGATGGAGTGTGCGAGCGAGCGCAAGGCGTCTCTCTCAACCCCTGCCCAGTGGCCCTCCTGTGACTTCTCTGTCCTTCCTCCTTGCAGTGAGCATGGAGTTTGGGCGGGCTGTGTGGCTCCGGTTCCACCCATCAGCCTATCCCCCGTGCCCTCACCCCAGCTTTGTGGCGCACTTGGGCGGTGTGGCCGTGGGCATCACTCTGGGCGTGGTGGTCCTGAGGAACTACGAGCAGAGGCTGCAGGACCAGTCGCTGTGGTGGATTTTTGTGGCCATGTACACAGTCTTCGTGCTGTTTGCTGTCTTCTGGAACATATTCGCCTACACCCTGCTGGACTTAAAGCTGCCACCGCCTCCTTAGGAGACTGGGGGACCGAGGTCAGGGAGGGGAGGGAGAGGCAGCAGCAGGAAGGAACATGTACATTCTTGTTCTCAGCGCCAGCTCCGCCACGCTGAGGAGGAGAGGACAAGATGCTCGGCTGCTGTGATGTTTGCGTTCAGGTTTGGACAATGGAGCCTCTTTTCTGAAAGGTGCCTGCTGGATGAGTTGGATGTGGTTACCATTGTTTTTCTACACTGTTCTGAGGACATCGGGCCAAGGCGAAGGCCTGGGGTGCCCTTCCCTTGGGCTGAGCCTGTTCCGTGTGTTTAGGGGACCCCTCTCGTCACAGATTGGGCTTTCCTTCTCCCTCGTCCACACACTGAGATGTCAGGAAGGCCCGAGAATAGAGTAGCCAGGCGGACTCTTGTCCAGCCCAGCCCAGAGATGCAGTCGCAGGCCAGGAAATGTTCCCTCTGCAGCTACTAGGTTTGGAGCTCTGGAGTGGAAGAGGGCCAGGTGGTGGACATGTTAGTTTGAGTCTAGAGGAGCCCAGGGTCCCCGCTGTTGGTGGGCACTGGGACATGGCCTCTAGTGCCTGGGGTAGGCGGAGGAGGGAGATGCTGTAAGTCCAGGCCTCGCTCCTGCCCTGGAGGTGTCAGTGAGCTAAACCCAAGAGGAGGGAATAAACTTCATCCCAAGCCCCACCCTAGGGAAGGCCCCATACCAACTTTGGCCTTCTCCCTCCCTGTCTTCCAGAATGCTGACATCTCACATCAGTGCCCCAGCGCCCTGTGGCCTGCCTTGTTTTTAGAGCCTTTTCCTTCCTTTCCTGACCCTACATTGTGCCTCTCCTTTGTTCATGGGGACGTGTGTGAGTGGGTGCATTGTACGTGTGTGGTGGATGAGGACGCCTGTGTGATGGTAGGAGATGCCACGGAGAGAACGTGAGGGGAGTTGGAGGCTGCGGAGGAAGGCTGTGGGGGGAGTGTGGGTGTGCGGAAGGGTCTGCGTGAAAGGAAAGAAAGCACTGAGAGGTGGGAGGGTGTGACTGCCGAGGATCTTGCTTTCAGCAAAGCTAGCCCCTTCCTTCCCGTTCCTCATCCTTTCCAGGCATCTCCCTGAGCGCCACTGACCAGCGGGAGACTTGTCCATGGCAGAGGGAGCCCTTGGGCCCTCCCAAGGACCCTCAGGACGCCGCGGTTTGCCTTTGCCCAGTTCCGTTCTTGTTTTCCTCTGGAATGACCTTCACGTGTAAAAAGGTTCTGTTCTCTTTCCCTTAGGAGGGCGGGAGCTGTGGGGGTGTAAGGCCGGGGCAGGAATGTTGAAGCCATGTGTCCATCTGAGTAGGGGGGACAGGAGGCTGCAGTCAAAGGAATTCCAATTTAGGCAGAAAACTGCTTCTAGAGAATTGTTGGGGATTCGGATGAGGGTCCGAGGTGAGGGCAGCCCATAGACTCAGATACTCAGAGCCTGGAGGGAACTTGGCAGGCTCATCCCTTCCTCTGCCGCACAAGTGGGAAAGCGAGGCTCAGGGAATGACTCCCAGGCAGGGGCGAGTGCAGGCCCTGAGCAGAGGGGAAGGGGAAGAAGGCCTTTGACAAAATCTGTGATTCCCTTTATACTGCTCGCGGAACTCCCAACTGCTGACAACCCAGAAAGACGAAGAACTCCCGTCTGGGAAGCAGAGGGACTGGGTCCGCGCAGGGACGAGGGCAGGAGCTTGGTCCAAAGTCAGCTGGGCCAGGCAGTTGGGGATCTTGGGCCACTGTGGCTTCCTGTCCTCCGTGATCACACGTGAATGAGCAGGGTCTTCATTCAGCCCCAGGCTATGCCAACCGCTCCCCACCCCGTCTTTGCCCAGTGCTGAATACATCATCCCGGTCCCCACATGTGGCTGCCGAGGTCATGCCGCACTCAGGCTGACACAGTACTGAGGACTGCCCACCCGAGCTGGCGTGGGCCCAGATCCGTGGCGGAGCTGCGTCTCCCTCGGGCGTCTTGTCTGTGTCCTGACAGCCTGTGTCTGCCCTCTAGAGAGAAGGGGTGTAGTCAGCTTCCTAGGAGGAGACCACGTTGGGACTGGGGGCCGAGAGGACTTGAGTGAGGATGGAGAGGGCGGCCCTGGCCATGGGCCACAGCCCCTCAACCGGAGCAGTGCTGTCCCTCACTGGAGGAGCGGGGAGGCAGGGCTTCCCTGCAGGCACCCGGGTGCTCTGGGTTGTGGGTGGAGGGAGCGGTCACCCCTGCCTTCTCCGGGTGTGGCCTGGAGAGGATCTTCCCCTCTCAGGGGCGAGAAGACTGTGAATAGAAGGCTCTAGCAAGCCCTCAGAGAAGCACCCAGGTCCCTCAGGTCTCCAGACGGGAGCTTGCTCCCGAGAAGGACTGTCTGAGGCGGAAGTCCCATTTGCCGTCCTGTCTGAGACGCACGAAGGGAGCCTCACCTGACTTTAGGCCGACAGCCGCAGCTGTTCCCTGTCAGCAGTGTCCGAAAGTGACCCCAAAGCTCGTCAGTCTGCTTAACACCCCCCTCTCCACCCTTGCCCAACCATCAGCTCCAAGCAGGGCCACCCAGTGGTGTCAGCAGTCACTCCACACAACCCAGGTCTCCAAACCAGGGCCAGAGACAATCGTCTGGTAAGAAAGGTTTCCTTTTTGGTGTCTGGCTTTCTCACCCTCCCCTCCCCCCCCCCACCACACCCCCAGGGCCCGGCCAGCAGCACATCCCCATCATCCCTCCTTCCCCGTCCAGCACAGCCCCTGGCCCAGTGTGGAGGGCAGTGTGCTATGGGGCCAGGGAGGGTGGCTGGTCTTACATCCATAGGATACAGAAATTGAAAGCCGGGGATCCCCCAAACAGCAGCCATAGATTTGCCCGCTCATTAAACAGAAGAGGAATCACAGAAACTAGGGAAGGGAAAACAAATCTTCAAAGGAGAAATTTTGCTTTAATGACACCATTAATCATTCATTTTTTTAATTAGGAAAAGCTCCCTAAAGAGGCATTTTTGCCAGCTAATAGGACTCTCCATTTCCACGAGGACCGTTCCTACCCAGAGGAGTAGGAGAGTCATTGCTCACAAACCCAGATCTTCCCCCACAGTGTCCAATTTCGCTTGCAAATAATGCAGATTCCCAGGTGCAGCGGAAGCCATCTCCTGGCTGCCTTCATGTTGCTCCCGGGGCTGGCCGGAAAGCACCGACACTCCTCTGCCTTAAAAACCGTGAATTCCACCCCCAAGGACTTGAGTAAGTGGAAAACAAAAGGAAACACAAGCTGCAATGTTTGTTTCTAAATATTTTTGTATTGTGTACATTCTGTATATTTTTGTCGTAACATATTATTCGAGCACAGATTCCATTAAAGATTTTTTTTTTTTTTTAAGCCATCGGTTATTCAGGAAGTGGCATAAAGGGCTGGCGTGGGAGCCCTGTTTCATCTTTGGAGGTGGGAGGTGGGGTGGGGGGACAGCAGCGGTGCTGGGCCTGTGATGTGCACAAGACAGAGCTGGGACTCGGCGCTTGGTGCTGCTGCTGGTGCTTCCAGTCTGGTGGAACCGTTTTTGAATTGCTGAACTCTTTGGAATGGTTGATGAGAGCTAGGTTTTCTCTTGCCCTAACAATGCGCAGGTAGACAGTTTTGTGTACAATGTGGAGGGGGGAGGTGGTCTGCAAATAAGGAAACTCACTCAGCTTCAGGTCAAGAGCTTTTGTGCCAGCTGTGCTCGTGGGGGTCCCGTCTTCCCCTTCTACCCTTACACGGTGGGAGATTAATGTTTTGACTACTGTTATTGTCGTAATCTTTGAAATACCTAGGTACTTCGTTCTTTACCCCAATAGCCTAGTCTGTAGGTCTTTCTAGGGGCAGTCAACATTCTGATCTGGAGGAAGGGATAGGGAACGTTCTCAGGGTGAAAGGACATGGTTCACGTACAGAAGGGGAAAACAAGAAGGGCGTAAGCGTGAAGGTCCAGTGCTTGGTAGGTTTAACAACCAAATGGGCTTTGAATGGATGAAGTCTGAGGAAGTGAGTTGTTTACTCCAGCTTTTCTAAACCGATGACAGCGTATGTGGTTTTGCAATTCATAACTGTTAAATTTCATTCGGGGATTAAACTACTCTGTTAAATTCAGCACGGGAGTCATTTCCCATAATGTTCTTTCACATCAGTTTCCTGTATGTTATTAAAAGAAAAAAAACATTAAAAAAATTTTTTTAATGTTTATTTTATTTTTGAGAGAGAGAGAGAGAGAGAGAGAGAGACGGAGCATGAGTGGGGGAGGGACATAGAGAGAGGGGGACACAGGATCCAAAGCAGGCTCCAGGCTCTGAGCTGTCAGCACAGAGCCTGACGCAGGGCTTGAACTCATGAACCGTGACATCATGACCTTAGCAGAAGTTGGACACTGAACCGACTGAGCCACCTAGGTGCCCCCCCCACCAAACCACATTTTTAAATGCTGCAAAAGTCATTCTAGAACAACTTGAGTACAGCTCAGGCTGAAGGTCAAAAAACTCATTTCTCTTTCGAGTGTGGATAACTAACTTCCCTAGAGGGAAAATCAGGACCCTGTCTGAGCACCCGTGCACCCCCTGTACCCCATCAGTTCCAGGCTCCAATACCTGAGGCACTGACAGACAAGCTCCCTGAATAGCCAAAAGCTGTTTAGATGGCTTTGCCTTTGGCTCCCTATCACTTCCCCCTTCGCTTTTCTGGTTCCTCCCTTCTACCAGATTCTCATTCTTCCCATAACTTTGTAAGACATTAACCAGTGATAAGGTAATTATGAAGACAATTTACTGGTTACTTAGTATGTGCTGGGCACTGGATGAGGCATTTTCAATGTATTATTTTCATTTAATTGCATAGCTACTTGTGTGAAGTGAGTATAAATATGCCCATATTTACACATGAGGGGAAGGCTTAGAGTTTAGTGACTGGCAGGTGCTTTATGGCATAGATGGCTTCATACCATGGTTCCAAAGTTCATGCTCTCAACCCTCAGCTGTTCATCGGGTGTTCAAGGACACTGAAGTGTCAGGGAGTTTGTTTAAAGATCCAGTCTCATTGCATTAGTAACAGTAATGAACCTTGGAATGTTTGTTCGGTGTTCACTTAATAGGATCTCTTTATCAGCCCTCCTGGAAGTGGTTTACAAGAAAATCCACAGCTATGAATTCATTACTGCTCCCTAATCACCCCTGACCCCCAGGATCTAGCATCGATGCCAACTCAGAATGATACGAAGTCTGTGACCCATTTGGGAAGGCTAGCAGTTGTAGAACTGGGGCTGCCCTCCTAGACCTCCAAGTAGAGAGACCGTTAATGTCAGGGGTGGGTCTCCACTACTGAGAAGACGCATGGTTAGGAAAACGTGGTCCTAACTGAATCTTAGCTCCCAGATGCCTGCAGGCTTTCCTTGCATCCGGTATACGTGTGCCTCCGGTAAAGGACATGCGTTCTGTCACGTTAGTAATGAGTGAGAGTGAGGGGAAGTGACCTGCAATATTGGGTCCTACAGCTGTATTTCCTTGGACAGTGAGTAAAACACCGCGATGGAGACTGCCCTTACACTGCCTGATGCCTCCTGCGAGGTGCAGAAAGGTGTATGCTGGCAGGTGGTGTGATTTTCTTCAACAGGTTCCTTAGCGTAACAGGTGTAATTTCCCCATAAACTTGTTGCGGATGAATAAAAATGTCAGCGTTGAGAATGGAGATAGTTAAATAAAAATGACTCTGTCGGTGAGAAGCTAAGTCAGTTTATTATTATTATTACAAATCTAATTATAGGTAAACTGAGGCCATTTTTGATACATGACAAACATACATTTCCTCTGTGTGTCGAGCACACAAGTAACACATAAATGTATTCCGTGCCTGGACAAATCCTGTTTAAAAACTTTAAAAGTTAATTCATTAGCTTATTAAAATTTGAGTACAGTACATGTTTCTGGTCATGAGCTCTCTGAGTTTCTTCTCATGGCCAACCAGCTATCCAGTTCCAGGTCACCATTGTCCTTGCCTACAGTAGTGATAGTTCGTCACAGGCTTTAAAATAAGACTGTATGGTATACAACTGTGTAATGTAGTGAGCCTGCATCACAAAATAAATACATATAAGTACACATAAGGAATGTACAGTTATACCTTGACTATATCCATAAATAGCTTGAAGCAGGTAATACATTTACTTTTAAAGGCCATTTACATCATGGGCTGTTGATATGTGAATTTGAAAATGAAAAATATTTTTTTTTAGACTCCAAATGTTGAGGTCCTAATGCTGTCTATTAAAAAAAAATTGATTTCTAAATGAGCAACAGAGTACATTAGAAAAAGTCAGATTCGAGGGTAGTGCCACAGAATTGCCTGTTTCCCATAGTCATTCTGTAAGTAATGCTATAAAAAATGCTATTTGGAATTTTTTTTCCTATACTGCCTACAATCCAAGTTATTAAAGTTTAAAACCATAGGAGAGCCTTTATGAAGATCCTGAATTGCATTTCTCATTAAAGGAAAAGAAATGGCTTGGTGAGTCATGTTCCTCGACTTCTGTAGAAGAGAAAGCAGAAGGCCATCGTCAGTCATTCTGAAAGTTAAAACTCAGCACTTAAGTGAAGTTAGATGAGTTTAGGAGAGGATTTTTACGGGCTTGTGTTCCTCTGAGCATCCTGACGGCAGTGAGAATGGGACTTCTGATCTTCTAAACAAAAATCATTATCAAATGGATTTATTAAAGAGCTGCGCAGAACAAACTGCCATCATATGTGTGTAGCTACGGTTGGCTTCCGTGGGAATTATAAATGGCTCCAGATGAGGGCACGTTCAATTGATTCAGAGTAAAACAACGTGAGGCTTGTAACAAATATACAAAAAACTGAAATCAATGAGTAACTGTGATATGAAGAATCTGTTTGTGTCCTTCATGTTACAGTCTGCTTGTAGAATTTATGTACTGTTTCTGTTTTAACATCTGAAAACCAGCATTTTCATAGAAAAGACAAAGTACAGGCTGTTGGCAAAATACCTGTGAACAAATGAATGATGGGGGCCACTTCCGCAGTAGCTTTCCATCCGAGATAAGGTTTTATCTTGAAGCTAGTGCGTCTATTTTTAAAGCTCATTTAATTTCTTACACACTCATGATTTGTGTATTGACTTAAAAGCTGGTTTTATCATCCATACCATTATCAATCAGACCAAAAAATCTATCCAAGCACCCACAGGATGCACAGATCTATCTTTGAAATGGTGTTGGAGGGCTAATCTTGTCCTAGGACTAGGAGGACATTTTTTTCAAGAAGCTATAATATATTGAAGAAAGAAGTATTACAATTTTTCTGGGAGGAAAAATTGCTAAATACTGCAGCCAACTTCTCAGAGAAGCCACAGAATTACTGTTCAAGATTTTGAGCATCAACCCCCCGAAGTCTAGAATTTATGGGGCCAGTGGTATACTAAAATTCCACGACTCTAACGCACGTGTGTCTGGGATTCAGTGAAGACAGTCCTCGGATTTTTATGTCTAAGTAAGTTAAGTTTTACAAGTACAAAATGAAAAAAATCTAGAGTGGGTTTCAACTAATCTTAAGTAGCAATCCTATGACAATTATGACAAGTGCAGTTTCAAACACCAAGGCTTCAGTGTACGACTTCACAATACAATGATCTCAAAACGTGTGATCACAAACTTTGGGCGAGGGCTTCTTTCATAAATTCCTCGAGGACGGCCACCACGTTCTTGGCCTCGGGCATTTCTTCGTGTTCCACTTTAACAATCTTCAGAAGGATATCTCCACTCCCACAGTTCTTCAGGAACGTGTAGCATTTAAACAAAGCATAATGATTCATTTCTGCCTGTCGGATAAATCTCTTCAAATTATTTGTGTCTTGTATGGCCTAGAAAAAGATTTCCCAGTTAAATATGTGCTTAGTGAGATAATAATGAAGCCTGAAAAATGTCTCCTATCCAGCTGAGAACTCAACTTACATTGCTGAGATGTTTTTTATTTTAAATATTTCTATCATTCTTACTGCTAATATGCTTTGCCCATGGGAGAACAAAATTTCTTATGAAATTACTTGATAAAAATACTTTTAAAAATACTTTTAAAATCAACTAAATAAAGTAACAACATTCCTCCCCATCAGAATTCTGAACCCTTAGGCACCGAACTGGGGTGTGTGTGCATGGGGGTGTGTGTGTGTGCGCGCATGCGTGCACGCACAGTTCCCAACTAAGATACATCACAAATTAGAAGACTGATGTGCCTGAGATGCAAGCAAGCGTTCAACCCAATTAATTGGAAATGCAAGGATATAAATGCAGAAGCTCCTGAAAAATATAAAGTAAATGGCTTCTGGAGATTCTGGTTTTGAGAACGTCCTGTTTAACAGACATCACAGCCGTAAAGCAGATCTGTTACTCTCTCACTGGGACTAATGAAAATTCAGACAAAAATTATATGTGGCATTTGGCACATAGCCAATTAATTACCTTTAGTTTAAAGTTCTCCAGTACTTGTCGAAAAAGAAAAGGGTTACCTCCTTCGGTGCCATTCAAAAAAGCCTGCATCCAATCCTCACAAAACCGGTTGCTTCCTATAAGGTATTTTAGAAAAATTAAACGAATAAAAATGAAATCCTACAAAGCATAAGACATTTGTTCTATTTATTTTATTTATTTATTAACAGGTGTAAATGACATATATTAGTTTCAAGTGTACAACATGATGATTCAATATGTGTGTACGTCGGGATTTTCTTTCTTGATAAAAACACTTATAGTGAATTATTTAAGACTTCTAGAACAGTCTAAAAAAATAATTTACTCAACACCTGGCTAAGAAATACCAACTGGCGGGGCGCCTGGGTGGCTCAGTCAGTTAAGCATCCAACTTCAGTGTAGGTCATGATCTCGTCATTCCCAAGTTCAAGCCCCACGTCAGGCTCTGTGCTGACAGCTCAGCGCCTGGAACCTGCTTCAGATTCTGTGTCTGCCTCTCTCTCTGCCCCTCCCCTACTCACACTCTGTCTCTCTCTCAAAAATAAATATTAAAAAACAAAACAAAACAAAAAACAACTGGCTGGAGCCCTGTGTGCCTCTTCCCAATCACACTCCCCTCCTTTCCCATCAGAAAGGATTATTATTCCCACTTATTTATTTTTAAATATTTTTTTTATTTTTGAGAGAGAGCATGAGCATAAGCGGGAAAGGGGCAGAGAACTTTTGCCACATACTTCTTTTTATCTCTAAGCCCTAGATAGTATTACTTTGCATACGTTAAAATGTTATGTATTTTTCTTTAATAGCTGATTCACTAAATAGTATGCTTCTGAGCTATACCAAGGCACACGGCTCTAGTTCATGCATTTTTGCTGCTATGTAGAACTCTACTGTACAAATGTAAGTTTTTCAATCTTCCTGTTGATAAACATTTGCTTCCAGTCTATTTCAAATGACGCCTTTATGAACATTTTTGTAGTTGTTTCCTTATGCACACATATGAGAATTTCTCTATATACACAGGAAGGGAATTGCCTGGCATGGCAGGATTTCCATGGATTCTATTCTAACCAGCAATCCTGGTTCTAGGATTGCTATTGTTTTTGGTGAGTTTGAGATAAACATGTACAACTGCACAAGGCAGGACGGATAAATTTGTATCATGTGTTTTCAGTGCAAAAACAGGCTCCCAAGAGTGCCTCAGAAGTTGCACTCACCTGCATTGTAGAACTGGGGCTGGGAGCTACTACAATCGATGACCACAGATTTACGCGGCTCCTCTGTCATGGCCATGCACAAAGACGTCATGGTGCCTTCGTGGATGAGGCCTTGAAGACTGGCTACGCTCAGAAACCTGCCGTACACACAAGTTCTTTTCCACACACAGTATTACAGGATAGGAGGGAGAAAGCAAATTCATTCTGGGGTGGGAGTTAAAGATGTATATCAGGCTTGCTGTGGAGAAGTTTCCCTCCTTGCAAAACTGTTCTTTACCTGTTAATGTCTCTCTTTGTTTTTTCATCTGATTCTTTAACTTCAACAGGGGTATAACTGAGAGCCTACAAGAGAAAAGTAAAGCCTAATTGATACATGTATCAGTTTTCCTTATTGAGCAGCTACTTGAGACTAAACTTCAGCTTCCCCAATAACCACTGCACTAGCCCAGAACTCTCCAGAGCCTTGTTTAGAGGCGTCAGTGGGCAGTCTAAAATGTGCTTTACCACCCTGGTCTCATGGACCATCCAGTCTCCACTGAATTTACCCACCACATATTTACATAAAAGCCTGGCCATATACTCTAGCCTTCCCCATTGCCTGGATATGTTAATGCATTTTTCATTTTTCATCTGGCATTTTTTTTTTTAAGTAAACTCTATCCCCAATGTGGGGCTAGAATTTACATCCCCAAGATTAAGGGTTGTACGCTTTACTGACTGAGCCAGCCAGGCGCCCCTATTTGGACATTTTTATATGGTTAAAATCACTTTGGATTTTTATTTTCCTTTTCAAATTGTTTTGGAAATTATACCTCTCCCAGATCACTTCAAAAAGTATTATTTAAAAATGTTTATCCTATTAGGAAGATTTAGTATTTGTGATTCTCCCTTAGGAATAGAACTTTCTAGATCTCAGTAAACAAAGTGGTCTATCCCGATTGCAAGCATAGTTTGAATATTCAGGAGGGAAAAAGTAATGTTCAGAGACAGTGAGTATGTCTTTAAATAATCCAGATTCTGTCAACGTGACTCTCAATTAAAGAAATGCTTTTGTTTGGGCAATACTCACGGCATGCAGCAGAAAGGTAAGCTTCTCCTGAAAGAGAAGAACCACCCTTTGGATTGGGCATACAACATCCTCAAACCAGCTGCTCAAGTAGGATTTTATATGGTTCTCCAGGCCTCTTTCCTAGATTAAGAAAGAATGTTATTTGGTTTAATATAAGCCTTCACTTTAGTGGACTTAACATTTTCTTCATGATATGTAGTTATCTATTTATTTGTTGAGAGAGTGAGAGAGGGAGCACACACACAAAGGGAAGAAAGGCAGAGGGGGAAAGAGAGAATCCCCAGCAGGCTCCATGCTCAGCACAGAGCCCGATGCAGGTCTGGATCCCACTACGCTGGGATCATGACCTGAGATGAAATCAGGAGTCAGACCATCAACTGACTAAGCCACCCAGGTGCCCCAATTCATGATACTCTTTACAGTGTAAAGAAGTGGGAATAGACACTTCCTTTTTTCAAGCTAACACGACCAACTCAAAAAAAGGAATTGTGATATAATTTTCCTAGGCTTGCTGAGCACAGTGGGGATTAATTCTGTACTGAATTTCTTAAGGAGCACCTGGCTGGTTCAGTTGGTAGAGCATGGGATGGGACTCTTG